GGTCAGTTCCTGAGCACGGGGCTGCACTTGGGTGGCTGTGGACCTGTCCAAGCTGGACGAGTCATTTTGTGCCTTTGATCTTAAGAAATTTAGGTTGCAAGTGAGACCTGGAATACCAGCACGGCCTTTTCAGCAGTGCAAGGAAGACTGCTCTCAAGCTGCCCCCATGAAGTATTAACGAAAGCTCAGCAGGTTGGGGTTTATTCAGCTGTAAAATAGCAGTTAAGATGCTTCTGAAATACTGCAGGAAGCATGCCTCTCTCCCGCCTTGGACAATTTACAGACGGGAGGCGAGTCCGCGTTGGGAGGAAGGCGGTGCGGTGCCGAAGGGCTGTGCCGCGCAGTGTCCTGTCCAGCAGTGCTGGCAGCGGGTGCTCGCAGGAGGCAGGGAAGAACAACGCGGCTGGTCTATGCTCTTTTCCCATTGTATCCTTCCCACTGATATTTTTTTTTTTAACGTCAGAGCTTCTATCAATGTGCTTAATAGCCCTTAATGCCTTTCCCTGTGCTTTATTTTCTTTTTTTCCATCTAAACTTTTAGTATTTACCGTGCTGAATATCAGTGGATTCCACAATTTAATTTGCGGGAAAAATCGATTCATTTTGTGATTTCCTAAACCAGCTACCCAATAATGTCAGGTAATGCCCTCTGCCTCTTAACTTCTGAGAAGAGATGAACAATTCTTTCCTATTTGTCCTCCCTGTGCGACTCAAGAATTTACAAACCTCTAGTGTGTCTTCCAAGCGCTGCCTCTTTTCCCAGAGGAAAAGCCGTAGCTTAATATCGTCTTGTACAAAAGGCATTTCACATCTGTGCTCATTGTTATTGCTTTTCTCTTATATTTTCTAGGTCTGCTGCAACCGGTGTTCAAAATGCAGGCACACCAGAAACGTACATCTTCTCATAAATATGCTTTGATTTTTTTCATCATTCTTTCCTACTAATTCCTAATCTATTTTTTAAAGTACCACTGAGTGCTGAGCTGCCATTCCGTAGAACTGTCCACTAACATTAAAAGCTATTCTGAAGGTTACTAAATAATTTAATTTCCATCAGTGTGTATATATAGGAGAATTGGCTTTTCCCCAGTGAGCATTAATTTGCATTTATTAAGACTCAATTTTGCCTGCTGTTTTTAGCTCCTAATCTCTCAGTAGTGTACGGTCCTATAAACAGGATTCCAACAAGATAGGCAGCAGTAGCACTCTGAATACCAGATAAGCGAAAGTTCAAGAAACTGAGCTTTAACAGGCTTACCTGGAAGGATATGAATGTTTCAGTGTAACCAAAAATTAAATACCGTGCCTCTAATCTAGGCTCCTCTAAGAAAGTGTGATGTCTGGTTAGCTGAGACGGGGAATGCCAACGTGCGTTGCATTGATTTTACCTCTGTGTTCTGCCGGAGCAGAAAGCTGCTCTCCGAGGTGTTTGGAAATCAGAAGCACCATCGGAGATTTTGCATCCTTGGTAAAAACGAGGGCTGTGGTTCATTATGTTCATGATTTATTTTTAATTTCTTTTCCTCTTTAGCTAGGCCATAACTTATGGGGGGAAAGACTTTAGTCATCAGTTGTATAGAGGCTTTCTTGTGACCATGTTGTTATTTTTCTGATTTTCTAGTAGCACTATCATGCAAAACCAAGGTCTATTGTTACGTACAATCAAACATTGTCCTTTTTGTGTCGTGCAAATACTTCTGAAACTTACAATTTTAGAAGGTCTATTGTGTATTCAGACCTCTTTCCAAAGATTTTTCTTTGATGGAGTCTCACCTTCCCTAGGCTAATGCTTAGAAAGTGCTTAAACTATTTGATTACTCAAAACCAATCTGCCTATCCTTACTGGATTTTCTTTCTGCTGTTTTCAGATAGCTTTGTGCAGCTTATTAGAGCCCAACCACTTTAAATAATTCCTGAAGTGCCAGAAGTCTGACTAGGAGTTCAACTTTCAGCTGCTTAGAGCTAAGAGCTTCTGCCCCAAGGCCTCGACTTCCTTCTGCAGATTTGCAGACTGAAATTAAACACTTAAAAGGCAAGTCTGATCTTCAAGAGAAGAAACCAGTGTAAAAATGGTGTCATGTTTTAGTGTGTCTGTCTGCAGAGAGCCTGAAACAACAGCTCTGAGTGGTAGATTCCCAGCCAGGTCTGTGAGGGTTTTGTTCTCAAATTTAGGTGAGGTCACTTTAAAAACATTAGTGTTTCACTATAAAATAGAAAATTCAAAGTGCCCCTGCAGTTTCCTAGCTAGATAATCGCCACCTGTAGAATACAGAACCGGCACAGCTTATCAGCTTCCTCGGGCAGCCAGAGACAACGTGACCGAGTGTGTTTCCTTGGCCCAACAACTCCATTCTTTCGTGTTGACGCCCTTGCTGCCCAGCGTCGGAGATGGGACCATTGGCAGGTAGTCGCGCGTTACTGGTCAAATACTTGCGAAGTGCCCATTACAGCATTCTGAATTTACGCCCAGGTACTTTGAAAGCGCAAGTCGAATAAATATTTAAAAGAAAGAAAAGAGGCCTCCTTTTGCTCAGAGTTCAGCGCGCCAACCCCAGCTCCCGGCTAACCACAACCAGCTTCCTCAGAGAGAAGCGTGATCGCAGTTTGCGGGGCTGCAAGGTTTAGTCATCGTGGTCTGTGTCTTGACCGTAAAGAGGAAACGATTCCAAGACAGAAGAACAGGTCAGTTTTTGAGAACGTGCTGCCTCTTTCTATCTCAGTGGTTCATACCTAGGGCCTGTAGACGATGCATTTCTCTCTCTTGTTAGGCTGAAAACACACGCAAAGACAAGAACAAAAAGCTGTCACCAGTGCAAATATTGCCAGTAATAAAGGTAAAACCGAGATGGCTTGTACGGGTAAGACATCAATGGCTCTAAGCACTGAATGATTTTAAATGGTTGCCTGGTGCAGGCTCCGTCGCTTGACAAGCTGCAAGTGATCTGTGGCAAGACGCATGTCCAGAGAAAAAGGAAAGAAATACGGGCTTCAAAAAAGAGCTGCTGACCCCTGCTGCTGTCAACCTGCACCCAAAGTAGTGACTTTTCAAAAAGATATGGGCTTTACGTATTGAAATTCTTTCATTTGCCTGATAGCTATGGGCAGGATTTCACTGATAGCGTCACTAAAATAAGGATAATGCTGGCATGAATTAATCATGAAACCAACCTTCCAGCAGGAGCTTTGCAGGCCAGGAGGAATATCAAGGGGTTTTCTTTCATATGCCCAACTCACACTTTAATATTACATATCAGCGCTGCCCACTATATTGCACAAACAATATAGCAGCTTAGTGAAGGATGGATGAGGGCAGAGGTGTATGTAATAGGCCCCTCTGATACGCTTTACGTTTACTCAAAGAAAATGGCTAAATAAACCTTTTCTGACAAATGGAGGAGCTCCTACCTGGTAGGTGGTGGGGCTGACTCGAGTGACCAGAGGATCAAATCGTACAGCCTTAGCAGAAAGCACCTGGGCAGCACAACACTCACAAAGCACTGCCCAGCTTTGAAGCTTTTGCTGTGTGAACCAGTTATGAACTGTTGGTTGGTTTTCTGTTGCCTTGACTCTAGCCCTGCCATCATCCCGGAGAGAGAAAAGCCTTATCTAAGCGATCCCACAGAGGCAGCTTATTGAATATAGCGTGAATAACAGAAATGTTGGCCAACAAACTGAACCTGAAACTCCTTCAAGAAACCTACTGTGTGGCTTTTCCAAGCTGCGCCGCCGTTTGGTTGCAGCCCCACTGTTGGCAGCGGCTCAGCCTTGCTGGGAGGAATAGAGAGGCGACAGCTCATCCGAACCTGAAAGGGACAGCCACAAACTTTCAGGGGATTTGGGAGGTTTTGGGGACCTGAAAAGTGAAGGTGCATCCTGTGTTAGGTAAGATACACAATTCAAGAAATGCAGAACTGTAAAAGGAAGTCCTTGTTTAAAATGCAATTGGAAAAATGATCAAAAAACATTGTATTAGTTTTCCTACAGGGCAAAAGCCATACTTTGAGGTTTAAAATTTTTCATCTAGACTGTGCCATGACACTG